GAAATAGTCGGACTCACCTCTACGCATGGCTCTGGAACCAGTTTCCTTGAGAGGGGTTGGACACTCTTCCACTCTGGAGTTGCCCCTGGTGAGAGGCGCCGAGCAGGAGTGGACATACATGTTGCCCCCCATCTTGGTGCCTATATGTTGGGGTTCACCCCGGTGAATGAGAGTGTAGCCTCACTCCATCTATGTGTGGGGGAATGGGTTCTGACTGTCATTTGTACTTATGTACCAAATGGCAGTTCAGATTACCCACCCTTTGTGGAATACTTGGAGAGGGTACTGGAGAGTGCACCTCCTGGGGACTCCCTTGTTCTGCTGGGGGACTTCAATGCTCACGTGGGCAATGACAGTGAGACCTGGAAGGGTGTGGTTGAGAGGAACGCCCCCCCTGATCTGAACCCGAGTGGTGTCCTGTTGTTGGACTTCTGTGCTCATCATGGATTGTCCATAACAAACACCATGTTCAAGCATAAGGGTGTCCATATGTGCTCTTGGCACCAGGACACCCTAGGCCGCAGTTCGATGATCGACTTTGTTGTCGTCTCATCTGATCTGCGGTCGCATGTCTTGGACACTCGGGTGAAGAGAGGGGTGGAGCTGTCCACAGACCACTACCTGGTGGTGAGATGGCTCCGATGGTGGGGGAGGATGCCAGTCAGACCTGGCAGGCCCAAACGTATTGTGAGGGTTTGCTGTGAACATTTGGCAGAGTCTCCTGTAAGACAAAGCTTTAACTCCCATCTCCGGGAGAACTTTGAACATGTTCCGGGGGAGGTAGGGGACATTGAGTCAGAGTGGGCCATGTTCCATGCCTCAATTGTTGAGGCAGCTTATCGGAGCTGCAGCTGCAAGGTTGTCGGTGCCTGTTGCGGCGGCAACCCTTGAACCCGGTGGTGGACACCGGCGGTGAGGGATGCTGTCAGGCTGAAGAACAAGTCCTATTGGGCCTTTTTGGCCTGTGGGACCCCGGAAGCAGCTGATGGGTACTGGCAATCCAAGAGACATGTAGCTCGGGTGGTCGCTGAGCCAAAAACTCAGGCATGGGAGGAGTTCGGAGAGGCCATGGAGAATGACTTTTGCATGGCTTCAAGTTGATTCTGGTCCACCATTCTGGTCCACCAGCCAGCATCTCAGGGGGAGGGGGGGGGGGGGGCATCCCCAACACTGTTTATAGTGGGGGTGGTGTGCTGCTGACCTCAACTTGGGATGTCATGGGTCAGTGGGCAAAATATTTTGAAGACCTCCTCAATTCCACTGGCACGTCTTCCACCGAGGAAGCGGAGCATGGGGATTTTAGGTCGGGCTCTCCAATCTCTGGTGCTGAGGTCACCGAGGTGGTTAAAAAGCTCCTTGGTGGCAGGGCCCCAGGGGTGGATGAGATTCGTCCAGAGTTCCTTAAGGCTCTGGAGGTTGTAGGGTTGTGTTGGCTTTCACAACTCTGCAATATTGCGTGGACATCAGGGGAAGTGCCCCTGGATTGGCAGACCGGGGTGGTGGTCCCCCTATTCAAAAAAGGGGACCGTAGAGTGTGTTCCAACTACAGGGGGATCATGCTCTTAAGCCTCCCTGGTAAGGTCTATTCGGGGGTTCTGGAGAGGAGGGTCCTCGAATAGTCGAACCTCAGATTCAGGAAGAGCAGTGCAGTTTTCGTCCTGGTCATGGAACACTGGACCAGCTCTACACTCTCAGCAGGGTCCTGGAGGGTGCATGGGAGTTTGCCCAACCAGTCTACATGTGCTTTGTGGACTTGGAGAAGGTGTTTGGTTGTGTCCCTCCGGGAACCCTGTGGGGAGTACTCTGGGAGTATGGGGTACCAGGTCCTTTGATATGGACTATTAGGTCCCTGTATGACCAATGTCAGAGCTTGGTCTGCATTGCCGACAGTAAGTTGGGCTCGTTCGCGGTGAGAGTTGGACTCCGCTAAGGTTGCCCTTTGTCACCGATTCTGTTCATAACTTTTATGGACAGAATTTCTAGGCACAGCCAAGGTGTTGAGGGGATCCGTTTTGGTGGCCTTAGGATCACGTCTCTTTTTTGCAGATGATGTGGTCCTATTGGCTTCATCAGGTCATGATCTACAGCATTCGCTGGAGCGGTTTGCAACCGAGTGTGACGCAGCTGGGATTAAGATCAGTTCCTCCAAATCCGAGGCCATGGCCTTGAGCCAGAAAAGGGTAGAGTGCCCTCTCCAGGTCGGGGAGGAGGTCCTGCCCCAAGTGGAGGCGTTGAAGTATCTTGGGGTCTTGTTTACGAATGAGGGAAAAATGGAGTGAGGGATCAATAGGCGGATAGGTGTAGTGTCTGTAGTGAAGCGGGTGCTGTACAGGTCTGTCGTGGTGAAGAGAGAGCTGAGTCAAAAGGAGAAGCTCTCAATTTACCGATCGATCTACGTTCCTACCCTCATCTATGGTCATGAGCTTTGGGTTGTGACCGAAAGAACGAGATCTCGGATACAAGCGACCAAAATGAGTTTTTTTCTGCAGGGTGTCTGGGCTCTCCCTTAGAGATAGGGTGAGAAGCTCTGTCATCCGGGAGGGACTCAGAGTAGAGCCGCTGCTCTCCACATAGAGAGGAGCCAGTTGAGATGGCTAGGGTATCTGGTTAGGATGCCTCCTGGACGCCTCCCTGTTGAGGTGTTCTGGACACATCCCACTGGGAAGAGACCCAGAGGAAGACCCAGGACACGCTGGAGGGACAATGTTTCTGGGCTGGCCTGGGAACGCCTCAGGATTCCCCCGGAGGAGCTGGCCCAAGTGGCTGGGGAGAGGGAAGTCTGGGCCTCCCTACTTAAGCTGCTACCCCCGCGGCCCGACCCCAGATAAGCGGAAGAAAATGGATGGATGGATCATTAGAAAGTTATCATTAGTTTATCAGCTGTGACATCAGTCAGAGTGTGGAGAACAATTTTCGGCTAAAAGCTAACAAAACGAGGGCCTTTAGTCATTTTTCAGACTTATAAAACAACTCTTTCACAAAAAGGAAACACCCGTCTGAAAGAATGTTGCATTAGCTAATATTAAACTCGCATGAAGTGCAACAATTGTTTAGTTTGTCGTCGTTTTCTGAACCAAACTAAACGTTTACTAGACTATCCCTTTAGGCTTCACAAACATAAGCAGGAGGTTGAGGAGCATTAAGTGTAGAACCACTAGACTGAGGAACAGCTTCTACCCTGAAGTTGTGAGACTCATGAATATCTAACCAGAAAAATCACTGTAAGGACACTTTAATTGGTGATATGTCGTTTTATCTGTGCTTCTGATCATCCATGCTGCTGATCTCTTGCCTTTAAGCTGCTGTATCCATACCCATCTGCTCACAACAGACTCATGTTCAGGCTGCTTTTTAATACACCATATTATATCACATTATTATTATTTAGCGTATATCTTAGATCCTTATATACTGTTTCTTTTTTTATACTTAATATATTTGCTATTTTTGGATGTAACTGGAACCTTGAGTACACAATTCCACCTCATGTACTACATGTGATGCGAATGACAAAAAAGAACCTTATTGTTAGCCTACTTGTATTTTTTCCTTCTTTTGGCTGCTCCCTTCTTCAGGGGTCACCACAGCGAACTAGGTCGCACGGAGACTTGGCGACTGTTTTTATGTCGGATGCCCTTCCTGACGCCAGAAACCCCAGTTCTGTTTTGTTCATTTTTGTTATCACACAAACATAAATGTACAAAAGTGACACTGTTAGTGGACCTAAAACAAGATACTTTATACATAAACTATATATACGTATACTATGTATATCTAGCTGTTTTTTTTGCTACTTTTTCCTTTTGACTGTCCTTTTGGTTGCCATTATATTTTAATTTGTAAAAAAAAATAAAAATTGTATGCCTCTTTTATGATTGTCTATAGTTGCCATTGTGGTCTACTGTTGTCATCACACTTTGTTAAAGAAATCAGGTCGCTCTTGTAAATGAGTCCCCAGGCTCAGTGGGATTTACCTGAGTAAATAAAGTTGAATGAATGAATGAATATATGTATAAAGTATACGTATATACATTGTATACATATATACATAATATACGTATACTATATATATACTTCTTCAGAGGTTGCCATGTCGAACTAACTCGCACGAAAACTTGGCAATAGTTTTTACGCCGGACGCCCTTCCTGACACAACCACAGACCACCGAGCTACCACAGCCCTCTGTGGAGCAGAGAGCTGCTGTCTAGGGCACCCGGGGGGGCAGATGGTAACTAACCTGTTTAAATAAAGGTTGAATGAATGGTGGAGGTTGAGGGCCTTGCTCAGGGGCCCAGAATGGGGCAAAGGAGGGTGGAGGCAGGTGCGGACTTTCCAGTCTCAGGCTCACCTTCTCTAACCTCTGCTCCACCAGAATTGTAGTCTACTTGTATACTAAGCATTTTCATTTTAAACAACTAGATTAGAAATATGACATGTGCTTATGTTATTGTCTGTCTGTCATCCTGTTTGGGGGGGGGGGGGGGGGGGGACTCTGGAAACTCCCCAGGGACTTGGCGGTGATCTACCTTTACACTGAGAACCCCATGCGTCTTCCCATCCATCCTGTGTCCGTGGGCTTCGGAGGTGGCCCATCAGCACGTTTAACACCCAACCTTCCACTATCACTTTTACACTTTATATTTCTTTACTTTATTTCCTCCCTCCCCCTCCAAGAAAAGAGGGGACAAATGTGTCTGAAGTGTCATCTGCCCCCCCCCACCCCAGATGCCATATTTAGGATACAAATGTGAGGAGATGACAGCGTTTGTAAAATGGAGCCCGTGCTGAGATTATAATTAACATTTCCAACCTACATCACTCTCCCTCCCACTTCTCCTTCGCTCCCCCCCCCCACCCCCCTATTCACTCACTCCTGTACGATAAATGGGGGGGGGGGGGGGGGTGAATGCAAGAAGAAAGGAGAGAAGGGGAGAAAGAAAAGAAAGGAGGAGAGTGAGAGAGAGAGTGAGCAGAGGGTGACCAAACGGAGGGAGGGAGGGGGAACAGCGTATGCTTGTATACAACCCTGATTTCCATTTTTTTCCCAACTCGTAATGTATTTAATTCAAGTGAAACGTAATCATGACGTGTCGTGTCATTAATCTCCTCGCCGCCTCTCCCGTAAGTACTGAGTCTTTACTTTCAGCATATATCCTATATCTTCATTTAAACCTTTTACTCTCTTTACGCGGCTCACGCGCACTTTTACGCGGGGCTGAGGGGAGGGTGGCATGAAGCAGCATTTCCAAAAATGGTGAATTTACTGCGACTGTTGTTGCCCTCTTTTTTTTTTTCTTCTTCTTCTTCTTCTTCTCGTCTGCCTTTTTTCCCCTCCTCCAACCAGGATAAATAGTTATTTTTTATTTTAACGTGCAGGTGCGCGCGAGCGAGCGAATGCGAGTTGATTGGCATACGTTTGTATGTATGAGCCGCCACTTTAATGGGTCATGTATGTGCGCGCGTGCTCGATTCGTGACCGTGACTTAAAAAAAAAAAAAAAAAAAAAAACAAGCGAAGAAGAAGTTAACCGGTAACACTTGGAGCAAAGTTGCGACGTTAAAAGTGCACATTTACGTAACTTCGTAGTAAGTTGTAAGCGGACGGTTCTTGGTTCGAGTCCGGGCGAGGACTGAACGAAAATTAAATGCTTATTTTAAAAAATAAAAGACGCTTGAGTAGAGAAAAGTAGCTTGTTTTTTTTTTTTTTTTACTTTTTCCGGGGGGGTTAAAATGAGGGTCAAGTTCACGGTGGAAGAGACGACATGTTGGTTATAAAAGTGCTTTCTTTTGTAACGTGGGGAAGTTGATTTGAAGGAAAACACGACTTAATTCTGTTGTTGGGCTCCGTGCGCGTTGTTGTTGCCACATAAGCGCCGTCACTTTCTTTATTTATCGCTGGTTTGAAGCTTTAAAGGCGATAATCCTCACTAGTGTTTACTACAGCCCGTGTCCTAACGTCACCTTCCGTGCTTTATAGTGCTGCGTTCACGACCGCTTGTAAAAACAAAACAAGTTCGGTTTTTACTGTTCAAAAAATTAAACACGTTTTTTTTTTTTTTTCCTGTTTCAGGGGAGGGCATAGATGTTGATGTGAGAAATGAAATCCATGATGGCACTTTCTTTCTTTCCTCCTCCCTGCTCGCTCACTCGTCTCTTTCCCCTCCCTTAATCTTTTGTATAGAAAATTTAGGAACAAAATGGAGCAGGCTGACATGACACGCGCACGCCACCTCCGACTTCTCCCAAACTAACAACTGCTCGCGCTCTTCTTTCACATTTTTACAGTATTTTTTTTTATTCCTTATGTCTAGAATCGTCAGAGCGGGGTTAATCTTATTTTAGTGGGGCTGTTTGTGTGCGCATTGTTTGTTGATGCTTATTTATTTCATTAATGTGCCTCTAATTGAGATGGCCGCGAGAGAGAGAGAGGAGGAGAGGAGGGGTGAAGGAGCGTGCTGAAAATGGTTGCACGTTATTGACGCACATCACAGGGGCGAGGAGGAAATTCCTCTTGAGATAAGGCGCAGACGTGTCATCTGGGCTGACCAGACACTCCCGTCGCCTTTTTCAGGATCCACTGGAAGATGTTCAGGGATCCTGAAATGTCCTATTTTTATACAGCCACCCTAAATGTCACACGCGGAGAGAGCATGGAAGTAGGCTGACATGACTGGCTCATATATGTACATATTTTTCTCTAGAGGTTCCCTAAACTCTTTTATTTTTTTTTATTTAACTTTTGAAAAGAGCACCAACAAAAGTGAAAGTATGCGTATAAAATACTGAGATGGAATTATAGCCATTTTTTAATGGACAAACTTGTCAATGACCTCACATTTCTAGAGCTTGTTCAGCTCGAAGCATGTGTTGAGAATGACTCAGCTACTGTTGCATGGAAAGAGTTAGAGCCATTTTTGTGTTTTTGTCATATTGCTTTATCAGCGTTTAGTGTATATTTTACATCCCTTACTGTTTTTTTTTTTTTACACTATATTTTTTTTACTATTGTTGGATGTAACCCTGTGTACATAATTTCGTTCCACCTCGTGCGCCACATGTGGTGGGAATGACAATAAAGTTGACTTGAACTTGAGCTTTTCTAAGTTCAGCTGGCTGTAGCACCCATTTTTTAATTGTGTTGATGGTGAAAATAACGAGTTGTGGACGTACAGTAGTCCCGCTATTATCACGGGGGGTTACGTTCCACTCACCACCGTGATGGGTGAAAAACCGTGAAGGAGGAACTCTTATTTATTTTATTATATTATATATTTTGAGGATTTACAAACCCTACGTCATTTTCACAACATATGTATATGTACTGTACAGTAGTGCAAAATGTTACCAGCTCTGCAGACCTGCCCTGCAGCGACGCAGCCCATCGCCTCATCCAGGTTGATGTCAGAGTTTCTTTATTTGTCATACGCGCCACATGTGGTACATGTGGTGGAACGACATTGTGTACTCAGGGTCCCAGTTACATCCAACAATAAAATGTTCAAGAAGAACAGTAATAAGATCTAAGATATGAACTAAGAAAAACGTTAACTAAAAATACACTAAACACTAGTAGCATAAAAACAACACGTAATAATTATTTGTGACTTTCCTGCCAGTTCTGTGAGCTTAATAGATACTTCTGACTTTGCGTTACAAAACTTTCCCCTCCATTTCAGCAGAAAGCAGCAGAAGCACTGGTGGCTTCTGGGTAGTCTAGTTCTTTTGACTGGTTTTACAGTGTAGGCTTATTGAAAGAAAACTACAAAATGGCAGCTCCTGTCCAAAGTATCTTATTTTTTTGTTGACTTTTTATCCCGTCCCATCCCAATCACGTGAGTAATATTAAAGGCAATCGTGTGTCGTGTACAATCTCACGTTGAAAAACTAGGACAGTCGAATCACGAAGTCGCGAGAGTACTGTATGTTCAGTGATTACTTTCTGAGAGGTTTAGAAAAAGGCATTCAGTGGTTCATGAGATATTTTCCTAACAAACATGGAGTTAGGCCAAAGCTTTAAGCGCAGGTGTTGAACAGTGAGCAGTCCTTTGTGTTGGGAGTGACTCTCAGCTACTACCACACCAGATTTTGACCTCAACAATTGTCAAATTGACTAATCTATTGCAGTTCTTGTGCTTTCAAAGATCAGCTGGCTGTGGTAGCCATCTTGAATGGGACTGATTCACTAACTCAGTCAGTTGTAGATGCACACCCAATGATTACTTTCTAAAAGTTTAATTAAAATCACTCCACTGGTTCATGAGATATTTTTGCTTACAATCAAACAAACACAGACACAGGATAAAATTGCCTTTCACCTTTAGTGGCGGATGATAACTAGAATACCTTAAAGAGACATGCTGACCTTTTGACATTGGGTACTATGTAAAATTAACAATGAATATCTTACCTGTCAGCGTTGATGTATAAAAACTTGAACTTCAAATGGACTGACAAGCTAAGGTCCGAGCGAAGCTAAGATGAAAGTAGACTTATGCAGAGCTTAAAGAACTCCAATCTCAAATCTTTCCTTCGTGGATCACAGTTTCAGAAACCAGTATGCTTTAGTCAGTTTCTCAATGTATGATTATTTACACAAAACTAAGATACTTTAAAAGTATAATTAGCAGCACCAGCTAGCTGTAGCACTTTTTATGCGTCATGGAGCATTTATGGCAGGAACGTAATTGTCTTTTTTTGCTAAATTAGCCACACAATGTGACATAAAGGTGATGTAAAAGTTTAAAAATGAGCATTTTCCTGATAATATTTTAAGCTACAAGTTGTTTTAAGACAGCAGATGTTTTCTTAAGTGAGTCTGTTTGGACAAGCCATACTTGGCTCACTGATCCAGTCCAAGAGGACCATGGTTCTGTCGTGTCTAGACCTAACAGAACCTGGAAGTTGAAGCTGGAGTGACACTGACCTTCCCTGTTCGCTAATCCAAATAAAAGTTTGAAGTCCCCTTCAGTGTAAACACTGAACATCTGAGTACATGGAGAAAACCCTTGCATGCATGAGTGAAATATGCCAACACCTCATAGAGAGGCTGCAGGGGATTTTTAAACTTGCAGACTTCTTGCTATGAGGCGATAGCTACAACCGCTGTACCACCGTGTCACTCGTACTTCTATGTTTTTTGAACTCAATGAGATTCAAAGAAGTACTGATATTTGAATCTCCATACCACCACCAAATAAACATTACACAGTTATTTTGCCACATATATTCAAATAATCTTGACAAAATGCTCCAGGTTGCATCACAAATGCTACCGCTAGCTGCCACTGCTTTGAAATCACATTTGTTTCAAGACAGCAGTGATCCATTATGGTTTTAGCTGCAGGTGAGTTAGCCGTTAGCTCGTCCGTCTTCTTGAACTTGAGCTCTATTTCTCCAAACTGAGGTCAACCAAAGTGGTAAATCCACAACACAAGTTATTAAAGGGATAGTCTGTTCATTTTTTAAAGGGGTTTTTCTGTCTATTAGTTATCTACGGGCAGCACGGTGGCACAACTGGTAAAGCTGTGGCCTCTCAATGAGCAAGTTACACTGGTTCAAATCCTGCGCCGGGGGCTTTTCTGGGTGGAGTTTGCATGTTCTCTCTGTGCATGCGTGGGTTTTTTCCGGGTGCTCCGGTTTCCTCCCATAAACCAAAAACATGCATGTTAGGCTGATTGGTAACTCTAAATTGTCTCTAGGTGTGAGTGAGAGAGTGAATGGTTGTTTGTCTCGTTTGTCTCTATGTGTCCCTGTTATGGACTGGAGACCTGTCCAGGGTGTCCCTCGCCTCTTGCACAGTGATGGCTGGATATGGGCACCAGTGACCCCCCACGACCCAAAAAGGTAGAAGCGGGTAAAGATAACGGATGGATGGCTGGATGGATAGTTATCATCAGCAGTGTTTCTCATACTTTACTTGCCTTGAAAGGGCACTCATCTGTTCCATGATTTTTTCGATGGGGGAGTTGGAGTCAGTGGGGAGATTGAGACATGTCTTTGTTTGTATCAACAGTTTTCGAGCAGGCGGGGGTAGGGGGTGGCGGCTCAGCTTGGGGGAAGCAGAAAGCTGCTTAGCTTTTTAGCTAGCGCATCTGGATCGCCTGCCGCTAGCTTAGCGATAC